GGCAGGAGCTTCTTGCTACAGCCTGAATGGTGCATGCCTCTGAGTTTCACCTGCTGAAATCCTAACTCCCAGTGCGACAGGATTTGGAGGTGGGACCTTTGCTATGCAGGTGTTTAGTCACAAGGGCACTGCCTACATAAGTGGGATTAGTGCCCTTAAAAAAGGGGCCCCCGGAGAGACCCCTACCCATCTGCCAGGTGAGGACATGGAGAGAAGATAGCCACAAAAGAACCAGGAAACAGGCTCTCACCAGACATCGAAACAACCAGAGATTGATCCTAAATTTCTCAGCCTCCAAAAAAACCTATGGGACATAAATGTTTGTTATTTATAACCTGCCTAGTCTATAGTATTCTCTTACAGCAGCTCTGACAGGCTAACGTAGAAGCTGGTACCAAAGATCAAGATTAAACTGGAAGTGAGGGCTCCAAATGAGCAGCATGATAGCTTCTTCTTCAAGCAGTGAAGCAAACTGGCTGAGGTTTATAAAACAGGAATCTGACGGTGGTGAGATATTTATACACACACACACACATATACACACACACACATATACATACACACACACAAGCGAGCTTCAAAACGTTTATGGAAAATGCATACTATAAAACTATGCATGCATTTAAAAATTTTTGCACCAAAATAAACTTATCACATAAGTCTGAGATAAAAATGATTAAATAATCTGCTCAAGTTCATGCAGTCGGTAAGCAACAGACATGAATTTCAAGCTAAGCACTGTCCACCTCCAGGACCTGAGCCACTGCTCATGCAGCAGTCAGCCCTGGGGACCTTCTGATTAAAACCCTGCAGAGGAGCAGGACTCCCGAGGACAGAGGATGTGGGCAGCTCTAAAGCATGGCAGTAAAGGCAAATCCCCCCGACTCAGGTTCAGCAAATGCTGTCATTGGAGTTGCCTTCCTCGAAGAAGGAATATGGGAGAGTGTGTTTTCACGGGCTAGCAGGTTATATGGACTTTTAGCTTTATAAATAATACTCTACAGCTAAAGACTTGAGCAACGACACATGAGCTGGCAAAATGTCCTTCCTACCCAACTATTGTTCCCAGTGCTATTCACTTCTCTGTGCCCAAGCACTGAATGTAAATACGTTTCTGAGGAATCACACTGGGATCTGTCCATAAGGGGTAGAGAATTACAGTGATACCTTAGGGCAAGAAGTCAGCGGCATCAGGGATCCTGCAAGCTGGAAGCTCATTTGGTGAGTCAATCTTATCATTATTGCCTGCATTAACCAGTTTTTCATCACTATAATGAAATAAATACTGGAGGAAACTAACTTTAGAAATAAACAAACAAAAATGCTTATTTAGTTAGGAGGTTCAACTCCAAGGTTGGGCAGCCCTGTTGGCTGGGACCTGTTGAGAGTTGTAGATGGTGGAGGAAGGATCCCATGGCTAGCCAGGGAGCAGAGAGAGTGGCTGGGCCCAAACTCGGGCTTTTGTAACAACACTCCCATGAGAACTACCCCGGACAGCATGCCCCCAGTAATCTAAGGACCTCCCACTAGGCCCTACTATCTAAATATTCTGCCAATCCCCAGTAGCTCTATCCTGGAGGCCAAGCCCTTAAAACATGGGCTAGGAGACACCCAAACTAATATCTAAACCATAGCACTGCACTCATCTCAACCTTCCTTCTGGGAGTCAGGACTTGCCCAACTGGCAAACAGTCTAAGTCCCAAGAACAAACAATCTCTGTCCCAGTTTACCCTGTCTGCCCTGTGTTCCTTTCACCACCTGTGAGCTTCACAGGCACCATTCTCTTCCTGCCCATGTCTACCATCCCTTCCTGGGCTGCTCAGGTCCAGCAATCAGGTTCCTATTACATTTTTAGATTTTTTAAAAAGATTTATTTGTTTATCTGAAAGGCAGAGCTACAGAGAGGCAGAGGCAGAGAGAGAGAGAGAGAGAGGGAAAGAGAGAGAGAAATTTTCCATTTGCTAGTTCATTCCTCAAACGGCTGCAATGGCCCAGAGCTGAGCCAATCCAAAGCCAGGAGCCAGGAGCTTCCTCCAGGTCTCCCAAGCGGATACAGGGGCCCAAGCACTTGGGTCATCCATCTTCTACTGCTTTCTCAGGCCATAGCAGAGAGCTGGATCAGAAGTGCAGCAGCCAGGACTTGAACCAGCACCCATATGGGATGCTGGCACTGCAGGTAGTGGCTTTACCTGCTACACCACAGCGCCAGCCCAGATTTCTGGATCTTGACCCCATGTCCTATTACTATTCATGGTTGTATATCTCCCAGGCAGTGGACAGAAAGCAGCGACTTAGTCAAAATGGGATAAAAATCGAAACCAAGTAGCCAACCAACCAAAACAAACTAAATAAAAACCCATACACTTCCATATGAATATATATACCCAGCTAATCTACCACCAAGAGAATGCCTTGTTAAATAACCTGTCCCGCTTGTCTTTATTCCTGTAAGGCTAACCCTCTAGCACATATTAAAGCACCTGACACATATTTGTTTCAAGCTTATTGTCTCCCCCCACCCCCTACAGATTGTAAATTCTAAGGGATCAGGAACTTTCATCTCCGACACCTATAACAGTATTTGCTCTAAGGTGAGAACTGAATATATTCACTGTTATTGGAGAGGTACCTGCCCACCTTTCTATACAAACTATTTTCAAGGCCACCATGAGATATACTTCCACCCCATTAAATTCAGATCACTCAAGTACTTGGGTCCCTGCTACCCTTGTGGAAAACGCAGACTGAGTTCCAGGCTCCTGGGTTTGACCTGACCCTAGCTGTTGTGCTCATCCGGGGAGTGAAGTGGCAAATGAAGATCTCTCCCTTTTTCCAAATAAGTAAAAAATGATTATCAGGGGCTGGCATTGTGGCATAGCAGGTAAAGCTGAAGTCTATGATGCCACCACCCTATATAGGTGACAGTTTGAGACCCGGCTGCTCCACTTCTGATCCAGCTCCCTGCTGATGGCCTGGGAAAGCAGTGGAAGATGGCTCAAATCCCTGCACCCCTGGACCCATGTGAGAGACCTAGAAGAAGCTCCTGGCTTCAGTCTGGCCCAGTACTGGCTGTTGCAGCCATTTGGGGAGTGAACCAGCAGATGCAAAATCTATCTCTCTTTCTAGGTAACTCTGCATTCTAAATAAGTAAATATTTTTTAAAAATTAAAAATAAAATGACATAGTACTTGTATATTACCTATGTACATCCTCCTATAAACTTTAAATCACCACTAAATCTTTTTAAAAAGATTTATTTATTTCACTGAAAGGCAGAGTGACAGAGAAAAAGGGAGAGACAGAGATTTTCCATCCACTGGTTTGCTCCTCAAATGGCCACAACAGCCAAGGGTGCACTAGGCTGAAACCAGAAGCCCAGAACTCCATCCAGATCTCCCACATGGGTGGCAGTGACCTAAGAATCCTAACCATCATTTGTTGCCTCTCAGGTGTATTAGCAGGGAGTTGGATAGGAAGTGGAGCAACTGAGACTCAAACCTGTGCTCAAATGGGATTCTGGAGTCGTACCGCAACACTGGCCATTGTTTTCTTATGGACTGCCTAGGATTTGGTTTGTATGATGCGCCTTATTTATTGACATAGTCCTATGAGCAAACACAGTTTGCTTTCCGTTTGGGGTTATTACAGAACAATGCTTGTTGATGAATATCTTTTTTACTTGTAACAATCAGAATTCCCAGCTGTGTTATGTCATTTTCAAATTTCAATGTTTGGGGGGGCGGTGCTGTGGCATAACGGGTAGACCCGGCTGTTCCACTTCTGATCCGGCTCTCTGCTGTGGCCTGGGAAAGCAGTAGAAGATGGCCCAAGTGCTTGGGCCCCTGCACCCACGTGGGAGACCCAGAGGAAGCTCCTGGCTCCTGGCTTTGGATCGGCACAGCTGCGGGCCGTTGCAGCCATTTGGAGAGTGAACCTGCAGATGGAAGACCTCTCTCTCTCTGGCTCTCTCCCTCTATTTCTCTGTTAACTCTGCCTTTCAAATAATAAATAAATCTTTAAAAAACCACACCTTTTTATGAAAATTATGACTAGGGCTTCGACAGTGAGCTCAACGAAGAGACTGACAGCCCATTCTGTAGCACAGGTACACACCATGACTGACCGCGGCTAAGTGAAGTCTCCCGAGGTCGAACACAGCAGTTAGGAGCAGACACAAATTTCACATTACCTCGAGATTCTATTCCCCTAGCCTAATAACGCTGATCTGATGGTTCTTTTTCAACAAACACATCCCTGATAACAAAACCAAAATACAATCTTCTCCCAATAAAGGTATACGCCCCAGGCTTGTCTTGTTCTTGAGTCAAAAATCTTGCTCCACCTAAGTCGTTTGTTTATGAACAAAACCCGCAGACCCAACTCTGGAGAAAAGAGGGAAAATTTTCAGCGCTCTCATCTCCATTTCACCAACCCTCTGGGGTCCTGGGGCCTTTTTAAACTTCGCGAGAAGGAGGCTAATGGGACGGATCGGGAGTAAGTGCCCCGGCCTCCCGGCCCGGCCGGGACCGCCGCCTGAGGGAAGCCGGGCGGGCGCTGGAAGCCATTGCTCAGCTCCTCTCCTCTCCTCGCCGCGCGCGTGTGCGTGTGCGTGTGTGTGGCACCCCTGGGCCTCGGCCCTGAGCACAAGCGACCCCACAGTGGCGCAGAGACCCCGGGCGGGCGACTCCGGTCCTGCCGGGGCGCGTCGAGAGTTCGTGTGGCCGCCCTCCCGCCTCACGCACGGGGAAGCCGCGGGGCCGGCGTGTGTGCAGGGGCCGGGGCTCGGCTCCCTCGGCGGGGCGCTCCCCAGTGCGGCCCCTGTCTCTACCACACGCGGGGCGGCCATGGGGGTGCCGCTGGGGGCCGCGACCCGGGCTCTGCACCCGACCCCAGCCTCGAACAGAAGGCGGCGGCGGCGGCCGCCCGGGGCGGGGGCTCGGCGCGGGGGCGGCCAGTGCGCCGAGAGGCCGGGCCGCGGCCGCGGGCCCCGGGCGCGCTTCCGCCGGCCGCGCCGCGCACGCCGCGGTCCATGGGAGGCTTGGCCGGCAGGGGCGGGGGCCGCGCAGCCGGGGACTTTCAGGAACTGCAGGAGCGGGCGGCGGCGGGAGTCGCCCAGCGCCAGCGGCGGGGCCTGAGCGCGAGAGCAGGGCTGAGGCGGAGCCGCCGCCGCCGCCGCCGCGCCGCGCCGGGGCCCAGCCGTAGCCGCCGCCCTCGCCTGCCCGACTTCGGGCCGACCAGCCGCGGCGCGGGAAACGAGCCGGCCGTCCCGGGCCGGGGGAGCCGCCCGCCATGGCCACCAAGGTGAGGGGCGCGCGGCCCAGGCCCCGCCGGCCGCTCGGCGCCGGGAGGGTCCGTCCCGGGGGCGCCGCGAAGGCCGACGGCGGCCTCCAGCGCTCTCCGTGGGGTCCCCCGGCCGGCCCGCGGCCCAGCCAGCACCCTGTGGCCGTGGGTGCCGGAGGGCCGGGAGCACGGGCGGCCGGGCTGGTGGGGAGCGCGGGCGTCGGGGACTGACTCGGGCCTGGGGCGGGTCGAGACCCCGGGTGGGTGCGGGACCCCGGGCGGGTGCGGGACCCCGGGCTGCGGGCGGTTTGCAAAGTTCGCACCTGAGCGGGGGCTGCAGGCGGGCGCGCCGGGGACCTAAAGTTCCCGCAGCCCCGGAGGTCCCGGGAGGCCGCTCGGTCCGCAGGCGACCGGCGCTGCGTGGTGTCCGGCGGCTCCTCCACCTCCCTCCCTCGGCCGGACGGTGGCCCCTGGACGCCCGGGGCGGTGTGGGGACCCGAACCGCAGCCCGGCAGGACGCGGCGCTTTAAATCCCGGGAGGGGAGCCCCGGCGCTCCCGCCGCCTTCACTTCGGAGTGTTTTTCGTCGGGTTTGCTGCTTTTTTCATGTTGAATGGTGTTGCCAGTCTGAGTAAAACAGCAAGAGGGAAATGAGTACGCTTTCGATTACGTGTTTGCTTGAAAAAAAAAAAAAAAAAAAAAAAAAGGCCCAGGCCCGAGTTACGTGATGGAACTTTGACTCCTGCCTGGTGATGAGCCAGGAGTGGTGGTTTGCTGCTTCTACGGTCTGGTTTGTGAGATTAGCAGGCACCCTTTGCCACCTGAGTCTGCAAAAGCCGAGACCCCCCTCCCTGCTTTCCTGGGCGCATTCGGGAGTTCGTTGGTGTGGACACTTGATGTGGTCACGGGGAGAGCCAGGGGCGCAGCCAGAGGACGGGGCAGGGGCTTCCACCCCGAGCTGGTGTGGGCAGTGGGTTTCCTTCCGCGTGGATTTTGTAATGGCACTTCGTTAAACAGCACCCTTTTCCACATGTATTTTTTGAGCCTCCCAAAGCCCCTTTTGGGTGGGTGAACACCTTCCATTTTTGTTATTGTTGGTGGCGGTTTTTAAGTAGGAGGGATAATTCCAGGACGTGATAGGGAGTTTGAAATCCCTTTGAAAGATCGGAATTGTCTGATCGCCTTTCCAACCTGTTGATGAACGTGCCCAGAATCCATCCAGGGCTGTCCTTGCCGGAAATCATTGCCTTCTTGTCAATATGTGATTGACTATGCTGGCTTCATTAGACGTGATAGAACTTGCCACCTTTTTGACATGTACTGATTTTGTGTTGACCTTCTTAAAATAAAATTTAAGTCCAGAACTAAGGAAATGTGATTCTGAAGTTTGTTGCCAAGCATTTCAGAAATTACCAGTGACACGTCCTGTTACACACTCACTGTCTTGCCAATTTCAAAGCAGCCTGTGACTGGCACAGCTTAGGGACTAATGCAGGTACACGCGATGAAAATTTTTTTGGTAACTAGGCCTGAACTTGATTTTTTTTTTCATAAAATTGGAAAGGACAGTGTTTTTTATTATTATTTTAAAGATTGATTATATATATGAAAGGCAGAGCTACAGAAAGGCAGAGAGAAAGATCTTCCATCCACTGGTTCACTCTGGCCACAGCTGAGCTGATCCAAAGCCAAGAGCTTCTTTCGGGTCCCCCACGTGGGTGCAGGGGCTCAGGGACTTGGGCCATCTGCTGCTGCTTCCCTAGGCCACAGCAGAGAGTTGGATTGGAAATGGAGCAGCTGGGACCCGAACCGATGTCCACATGGGATGCTGGTGCTGCAGTCTGGGGCTTTGGCCCACTGCGCCACGGCGCCGGCCCCAGGCCAGTGGTTCTTGTGCTTGGTTCACTCAACACAAGCCCTAGGATGTGTAAGCACCTTCTGCTTTGTTATCTGCCCTACTCTGAAGGCGAATTCCGGTCTTTCTGGCATTCAGTTTTCTAAGCCCGGTTCCACAAGGCCCCCATTTCCATGTTTACATTGGGACAGACTTGCCATTTTAAGAGAAAGAAGAGCAAGGCAGCCCTCAGGAAAGAGGCCCCTTCCTTAGTTTCTGGTTTTCCTAATTCCTGGTGGTTCTCGGGTCCAGCCAGAGCCTCATTCTTCATTGTCCACAGAAGCAGATTGTCCCTGTTGTGTCCACGATACAAATCCCCCCACCCTTCCCACTTCCCCTTCTCTACTGGGTAGGTGGGGAGCGTGTACTCAGTATGCAGTAAACACTAACCTCTGATGAAGTCTTAGATGCCAGCGACCTGCATGCTGTCACTATGCAATGATGAGAATGAACTCAGTGTTTGAGTACCTGGTGGTGTTGCATTTCCTTTTGAACTTAGCAGAGAAGGGCTCTAGTTCTCTTCAGAGAAACTTTTTGTATGTATTGTTCTTACATGTTTCTTTGAAGGTGCAGTTTTTCTGGACTATCTTGATTTTTAAAAATTCCATTGGTATAAACACAATAGAAGAAAAATAGAAGTCATCTTTTAGGAGGACTTCCATTGGGCTGAAGAGAGTTAATCAGTACCTGCACACTTTAAAGGGATTATTGGGATTTTTTCGAATCTCTACCAGCAGAATGCTGAATTTACCATTTTGAGTCCAGTCATATCTCATTTAACAGATATCATGAAAAGCTAATGTGTTTTTGTCTTAACCTCTACAGGAAAACCCTAAAGGTTATATTTTGACATAGACCTATGGTAAATTTGAGTAAGTTTTATGGGTATACTTCAAAAAGTGTGGGAAACGGAATTAAAAGATATTGAAATCCATGCATAGTTTTTTTCATAGTATGCATTTTCCATGAACCCCTCTATGTGTGAATTTCTACATTTTTCACCACTAAAGCATTTTAATTGTTTTCCTTGAACATTTTGTCATATACTTGTAGTTAAAGCATCAAAAGAAATTAAGATATTTTTCCTGTATATGTCAAAAGGTACATGAAGAAAACAGTTAATGGAAGTTGAGCTGTGTCTGTATAACTTAGTTGTAATTTCTATGTTAAAGTTAACCTTGATTTCTTTTTTTTTTTTTTAAGATTTATTTTATTTATTTGAAAGAGTTACAGAGAGAGGTAGAGAAAGAAAGAGAGGTCTTCCATCTGCTGGTTCACTTCCCAGATGGCTGCAAGGGCCAGAGCTGTGTCAATCCGAAGCCAGGAGCCAGGGGCTTCTTCTGGGTCTCCCACATGGGTGCAGGGGGCTGAGGACTTGGGCCATCTTCTGCTGCCTTCCCAGGCCATAGCAGAGAGCTGGATCAGAAGTGGAGCAGCCAGGACTTGAACCGGTGCCCATCTGGGATGCTGGTGTTTCAGGCCAGGGCGTTCACCTGCTGTGCCACAGTACCAGCCCCTGACCTTGGTTTCTAATTTGGATCCTTTTGTGCTTACCTATTCACTTTTAGGAGTGGCCGTTATAATAAGATTCTAGGAATTCCTAGTGCCTTTTTTTTTTTTTAAACTTTTCTTTCCAGCGTCAGTATCTGAGGTTATATGCATGTGTTGTACATCTTGTCTGTTGAATGAAGCTCGCGTAAAATGTTGAAAACATTGGAGGAAGTGAGTGAGCTGCTGAGGACTGTTCTGGGGTATAGGTTAGTGAGCGCCTTTTAGAAAAGACATGCTTGGTGTCTCCTGAGCAAAAGCTTCGTTATTTGAAAAAAAGAAAATGGAAATAATGGAAGAGTCTTTAATCCTAAAGGGTCTTAAAGGTTAAAGTTGAGGGGCCAGCATTGTGGGGTAGCGGGTGACCAGCTCCCTTCTAACGCGCCTGGGAAAGCAGCAGAAGGTGACACAGGTGCTGCACTCCAGCACGCGTGTGGAGACCTGGAGGAGCTCCTGGCCCCTGGCTTCGCTCCGGCCCAGCCCTGGCTGTTGGGTTATCTGGGGAGTGAGCCAGCAAAGGGATGATCCATCTCTGTCCGTCTAAATAAAGTAAATCTTAAATAAGAATTTAAGTTGATTTTTAGTCTCTTAAAACAAGATGGAAAATGCTGACTATTCAGTTTTGTGTATCTAATATTTTTAAGTGTCTCAAGTAAAATATACAGTATTTGTACAGCCAAAGAAACATTCTGTGAGGATAGAAAGGTGGAACAGTTTCTTATTAGAGGAGGGCTGGGGGCCAGCTTTGTGGCACAGGAGAGGCTGCTGTGAGGACGCTAGCATCCCATATCCAGTGCCGGTCTGAAGGTCTGAGTCCCGGCTGCTGCGTTTCCCATCCGGCTCCTGCTAGTGCACCTGGGAAGGCAGTGGGTGATGGCCCCTGCCACCCATGATAGGGGTCCCTGATGGAGTTCCGGGCTTCTGGCTTCAGCCTGGCCCAGTCCCAGTCATTTGGGAAGCAAATGGAAGATTTTTTTTTTAAGATTTATTTAATTTATTTTAAAGACAGAATTACAGGGGCCGGAGCTGTGGAGTAGCGGGTAAAGCAGCCAGCTGTCTGCAGTGCCGGCATCCCATATGGGCGCCAGTTCGAGTCCTGGCTGCTCCACTTCCAATGCAGCTCTCTGCTGTGGCCTGGGAAAGTAGTAGAAGATGGCACAAGTCCTTGGGCCCCTGCACCCGAGTGGGAGACCTGGAAGAAGCCCCTGGCTCCTGGCTTTAGATCAGAGCAGCTCTGGCCATCGCGGACAATTGGGAAGTGAACCAACGGATGGAAGACCTCCCTTTCTCTACCTCTCTTCTCTTTGTATAACTTTGACTTTCAAATAAATAAACCTTTAAAAAAGAGAGAGAGAGAGAGCGAGCGAGCGCGCTTCGATCTGCTGGTTTATGCCCCAGATGGCTGCAACAGCCAGAGCTGGGCCAGTCCAAAGGCAGAAGCCTGGAGCTTCTGGATCCCCCACGCAGGTGCAAGGGCCCAAGGACTTGGGCCGTCTTCCACTGCTTTCCCAGGACATCAGCAGGGAGCTGGATCAGAAGTGGAGCATCCGGAACTTGAACTGGTGTCCATATGGGATGCT